GCGGCGCCGGCGCAGGGCCCCTGATCGCGCCGCCAATGGGGGCAGCGGCCGCGCACACTGCCCGCTGGCAGGATTCTGTATCACCTAGACAGGGAATAACTATTAGGGAGACCTCAGGCAACGGGAGGAGTCCAATATTGTCATTTTTGACAACGAACATGGCGTGGGTGTATTCAAGTAGTGGAGTTCAGCACGTGGCATGTGCATAGTTTCACATCTTGACTGCAGCAGAACGTGAACTGTAGATCACATGTGCACAAAGGGATGCTTTTTATTGGGCGTGTTGATTCTAAGACACCTTGCGTACCATGTACACGATGTCTGGGTAGGAAATGTTTAAAGTTCGAGAATAAGCTCTTAAGACAATTTAAAGCGTATTTTGCCATATTCCAATATACTGCTTGGATATTTCGAATGGCTGAGCCGCAATAAACTCACAAACGTTTCTAGGTAAAAAATCTGCGTTGCAGAAGCTTATTAATACTTCAAAAACATGTAAATTGTTTATTATTTACAAAAGAATTGTATATATTTGTTCAGAAAGAAAAAATTAACACAAAAATAAAAAAGCACCCAATTTACACAAGTCGACTGGTTACTGCTAGCTCTCATAGGTAAAGCTATGGTGGATTATTTAATAAAATCTTGATTTTCTTTTATACCAGTACATTATTGAAAATGTTTACCTTGATGATGTATGTTGTGTACAACAAACGAATTTATTTAATTTTTCATCATACTGTCTGTCATCATTTCCACCTCTACATCCAAAAATACTTATCATTGTTAAGAAAAGTCATAAAGAAGGCTGACATCATAAAACAGGACGAGGATATTTTGAAATCAAATAAATAAACAAAAACAATGTAGAATATGTCAAAGATATGACATCAACTAAAAACATTGTAGAGAATATTGAAAAGGAAACGATTGGGAAATGCACTCCAACGAACGTTTTTCGAGAATTGCAGTAAAATTCCACGAACGTTCTTACGGCAAAAAGTCAACTTAATACGTTTACCCACAATACTTGCTTCCAAAACTTCTTCCTATGAAAGTCTCAAAATTATCGGTAAAGTAAAAAAAAAATTTTGTCGGGTAGTTTAGATAAATTTCCGGATTGTCTGATGAATAGTTGTACCTGTCATTACAGACCTGTGAACTCGTATATTTAACGCATCCTTATGTCCCGGGTTATTTCCAGTTTTCTCCAACCTTTGGCAGTTTCTTCAAAAACGTTACGTTTCTATGTAAAGGTACCTTTCTACAAAAAATTCAGATATAATACATGTACATTATTTTACAACACCTTACCAGATGACATTGAACAATTAAATTTGATACAAAAGTTGAAGTCCCAATATTTTCTGCTGCACAACTGTTTCAATACAGTTAGAGACTATACTGAGCATCCAAAAGGAACGTAATATTAATTTTTAAAATGACATATTAATGTATTATATATCATTTGGATTGTATAATTTTAAAGATCCTGTAACAAGTATTGTACTTAAGCTTCTGGATCAATGACCACCATCTCGATCAGGTTTTCGTCCAGTTTCCCTGATCCTCGAGCAAATGCTGAGATGGCCCTTGTTTTGCTTCTTAACCGTTTTTGACGTAAATAAATAAAAATAAATAAATTCTATGTACGAATGGAAACGTGTCAGTTAACGCAAAACTTTTTGTAGTGGCCACGTGGATTTTGAAAATCAAAAGCTACAGAAACAGCCGAATTTTCTTTTCTTAAAGATGTCGCATCATCAATAGATCAAAATGAAGCACCTATGGGAATATTTTTAGACCATTCTAAAGATTTTGACGTCAATGAATCTTTTGCTTTCAAAGTCACTTCTTACTATAAGTAAACGAAATGCCCTCGTCGATTCAAAACGAAAGAATATTTTTTTCATTGCTTCTCATTGCTGAGGGTTCGAATATTCTTATAATTAAGAAACAGCAACTAGTACAATGCCAGATGTTTAGTATTGGTTTCGTAATAACGAATTAGGAGCAAACGGCGGGATAACGGTTTCAATGCGGTTTTCCAATTGAAATAAATAATTTTGTACTTTATTTATATTCAACGTTTAAAGCCAAACCTCAAATGGAACGCCCTTAAATGAAATGAATACAAAGTTAAGATCATTAGCTACGCCTACAGAATTCTTTCAAATACCGTCAGCCTTAATATTCCTCGTCTGTATTTCGGGAATATGCATTCCCACCTGAGATATGGCACAATATTATGGGTGGACACATCCCACATCTCCCAGACGTTTAGATCACAGAAAAGTATTGTACGGTCACTTAGCAAATCTCACCCATGTGACTTTCGACATTTCCTTTTGCTTTCCCGCGGCTTCTGGGACCACGATGACCATTAGAATCGGTTTTTCCGAGCAGCTTCCCTGAACCTTTCAGCAAAGGCGGAGAAGCCCACCTCGCTTTTCTTGTGGAGACAAATGTAGCTTCAGCATAAGTCCATAGTTTCTTCAGTTGAATGTAAAATTTATGGAGCGTGATGTGTCAGAAGACTTCCACAGATCATTTCTTTCCCTGTTTAATACATAACAATTATTGTTATAAATAATCAGCAATTGTCGGATTACTTCGGCTTCTGACTTCACAATCGTTTGCTTACTTTTTACATTTTAATTTAGTGCCGAGATAAAATGAAAGAATAGAAATTGTTCCTAATGTATTACATTCTGCTTAAAGTGCTTACTTTTCTTTCAGTTACGGCGACATCAGTGCGGCGGCCATGTTCCAAGACATGGACAAGCTGGCCATCGGCATCGTGCTCATGTTCGTCTACGTGCAAGTCATTCTCTCCAACTTCAACATGGTGGAATTCCGGGTGAGGGCGCCTCTGCGCGGGGCTCGCAAGCTTCAGCGGAGGAGAACAGCGAGCCCGAATCGCTCGGGAGCTTTCTGCTCTGAAATCCTGGCCACTCTCTGCTGATCCGGGTAGCCGAGATCGCTAAGGCAGTAGGGCCGTGGGTTCGAATACCGCCTCGTGCATGGTTCATTGTGAGTGTCTGTGTGTACCCTGAAGTTGGCGTCAGGAAAGGCATACGGCTGTAAAAATCACTGCGAAATCATTGTAAAATAAATCTTTACATTTGTGCGGAAAATGAATAACAAATGAGCCCGTCCCCATACGCGCTGGCCCTGTAGAAACGAACAGGTAAGGATAAAAAAGGTTGGTCATTTTATTCGGGCTATTTTCCTGCTAGGTATTAAATTTAAAATAAGTTGTATTTTCAGGGTTGTACTATTCTGAAAGTTCCATCCAGGGATACTCCAAGTGCACTCAGGATATGGAAGTGAGATTCCGTAGCAACATGATCGTTAATAATATAAATTATTGAAGACAAACGTGCATAATTACAATCTCGGTCAGGAAGATAATTGTAAATGCTAATTATATCTTCGGATGAATAAACACTTAGATTTCTAGAAGGCTATCATGTCTAACAGAACTCAATAGTTTTAGTCTTAGATGTTGGATTCGTGTACAGATGTGCAGTATCTTCATGTGTTGATGACAGAGAAAATATTGCACGGCACGTTTTTCATTGTAAGCAAGGAGGGAAAAGAAGCAAATTAGATACGGTTCAGAACACAGGAAAGATCACAAAGAATTTTCATCTCTGAGGGAACTGGACTATATTACCCGTGACTTTTAATATGTGGAAGTTGCATGCAATGATGACAATAACGAAAACTAAATTGTCTTCCGGGTGATCCTGTTTCCCGCAAATCGAAGAAAATGCAAAACAGTGTAATTAACGTATTTGTTAAATCCAGATGAAATATGTTTAATATAGAGGAACCCTTGATGCAACAAAAACACACACTTTTTTCCATTATTTTTACTTTCTTCTTACGAAGTAGTAAGAAAGTTATGTAATGCTGCTCGAAAAAACGGTGAATTTTCGATACAAAACTCTTATTACAGGGCCCCGATAAGAGATAAATTCAGTTGCTAAATTTAGGAAGAAAATCCTCTATGCGTGGTGTAGCAAGAATCCATGTTTTGTGGGTTCTTGATACCGAGAAATCGAATGACGACTAAACGTATGACCGTCTGTCCGGCCGGCCGGCCGGCTGTGAACAACGCTAGCGCCTAAACCGTTCAGCCGATTTTCTCTAAAGTTGATATTCCCCAATCGATCTGGCTGATGTCGCAGTCCCTAGAATTCGAAAGCGATATTTCAATTTTGGGGAGTACTATGCTTGAATCCCCTAGGACATTTTCAAAATTTTCAAGAAAAAGGCTTTATTTTTTTAAAATTTTATATTGTTGTTTGACAGTGTAAAGAACGTTTAAGAGAACAGTGCAGATCTTATGTTCGTTGAAAACGCTGATTTTTTGAAAATTGCAAAAGTTTAAAAATCTTTCGGAGTATTCCTACAATGAAAATATTAAAGATAACTATTTTCCATTAATTAAATCTGTTCCTTAAAGATAGATTTTGAAATAAGGTCATGTACTATTTATCGATAATTTGAGTAATTTTGGCGTAATGTTGCGTGAGAGTGCGGGCCAGAAAGTCCATGCTGTTAGTTAACCATTAGTTAACTTTCGCATCAACTGGCACCGTTCCGTCCTCAACGACCCGAGTCGAGCGATTGCAGAGGTTCCGTAGGGTGAGAGGACATCGCTCGACGGCGCGCCGCCACAAATTCGCTTCCGATGGCGAGGGCCCGCGACCTCCCGGGGTCAAGTGGCGTTGGGCCGCGCGCCGACAACTTTTCCGCATCGCCCGAGGAGCAGCATGCTCAGATTGAATTAGGCCTCTCCTATTAACTTCCCGGCAGGCGAGGGCCAGTGTTGCTTTGTTTTGTTCTGTGTTTCTTTGCTGCGGGATCCTCTTCGACTCCTTCTACAACATTTTCTCTTCTTCTTTTTCTCCTTCTTCTTCCTCATCTTCATCTTATTATTTTTTGGTTTGGTCGCAATTTGGCAATTGGAATCCAAATTTTATCCTCCAGGGTTGCTTGTCCTGTGGGGATGGAACATACAATGATGATGGTAATGAAGGATAAATGGACGACACACACATACAGACATACACAACACACTCATGTTCGAGGCGGGACACGAACCCGCGATCCTTGCCATCGAGGTCGCCACCGCACTACTGTCTCTGCCATCCGGATCGACATTATTGTTGTTGTTATTATTATTATTGTTATTATTTATATTACACCTCGCATATGTACGCTACACACGTCGATATCAATAATTCAGAACATCGTGCTTATTGAGAGGTTACGTAACCAAGAGGCGTGTGATTAATGAAATTTATTAACTTTTGCTTATAGTTATTTTATTGGCTATTGAGTAACATAACTGCCTATAATATCAGTATTTCCTTACTAGACCCTACTTAGTTCAGCCCACTTGATCCTGCACTCGAACATTTTAAATTAAACGTGCAATATTTCCTGCAGCAGCAATTGCAACTGTCGCTTGGGGAAGGTATCCTTCGGGCGGCCTCTTCCCTCTGCCTTCAGTTCCAAGGGCTTGTACAGGACATACAAGTATTGTACGTTTAATTTAAATTCATACGACAGAAAGTATAAACTTTTACTCAAAATAAAAAACATTAGCATATTAAAACATTAGCATATGTTACATCATTGTATGCCTCTTTTTACGATATATCTGTTACTAGTGGGACAAATACATGGTTCTATTTCAAAAATTAAACGTGATTAAATTTCTCAAAAACTAAACGCATTTCAAACAATATCTCTGCAGCATATTACTATCCCCGTGTTTCCGCATTGCTGAGCGAAAATTACGATATCGTGAACCGTTTGGAAGTTACGGGGATGGCTCGACGTTGGTAGAACACCTGTATATGATTGTTAAAATAACTTTTATTTTTATTTTTGATGGTTGTTATAGACATGTTTATTTTTTTATAAATACTCAATACAAACGTCGAAGGCTTTCGCAGCCAGAGTCAAGCGAATAATATTGACTATCGGGGTGATACAGCCTCGAAGGCAGAGATGCCGATGTTTGGACCATCTCGTGGTCTTCCTCAGGGCTGAAGCACTGCAGTCCCGAGGGACGGAGGCACCGCACCCGGACAGCCAACATCATTCCAACAGTACAAACGTTAACGAATGCATGGATTTTTTACTGTTAATTTATTTTGGGGGGTCACGAATTAGCCGTGTGGGACCACGAAGACTTTCATCTGCGCTTACCGAGGCTCAGTAATATTTATCCCGTGGCAAGTGCCTGTGGCTCCTTTCCGGGGATCAGCGTTATGTCATTCAATTTTTTTTAGTTCTGAGAGTTGCTGGTCCTTGGGTGATGGAAGATGGAGTGATGGATGGTATCGAAGGGAAGGACGAAAGGACGACACACATATACAGACATTCAGGAACACGATCGTGCGCGAGGTGGGATTCGAATCCGCGATCCTTCGTTCTGCCACTCGGATCGGCGAAATACCTCTGTCGCAATGGATGTAATGGTTGCTTTGTGCGTTGTGCGCAGTTCCTGCTGGCCAACGTGGGGCTGGTGTGCGTGGGGCTGGCGTTCGTGGTGGCCGTGGGGCTGTGCTCGCTCATGGGCATCTCGTACGGGCCCGTGCACACGGCGCTGCCCTTCCTGCTGCTGGGCATCGGCGTGGACGACATGTTCGTCATCATGGCGTGCTGGCGCAACCTGACGCCCGCGGAGCGCCAGCTGCGCCTGGCCGAGCGCATGGGCCGCACGCTGCAGCACGCGGGCCCCTCCATCACCATCACCTCGCTCACCGACGTCGTCGCCTTCCTCGTCGGCGCCTCCACGGTCAGTCCGCGGCGCTCGCGCACGCGCCCACGCAAGCACGCACGCACGCGCGAGCTAGGTCCAATGCGGTCGCTGTCGGGAGGACAACTGGATCTTGATCGGTAGTTCTCCGGGCTTTCTCCGAACAACACCAGGCGAGTGCCGGAGCAGTAACGTAACAAAGGGGCCACGGACCGCGCGGTCTTTCCTACCTCTTCGTTGTCCTATTCTCACCCCTTCACTACCACACATGCTGGGAGACCGGTCGGGAGCTTGCATCCTGTCCTGCGGTGGCTGTGCCACGCTGGTGGGATATTCCTTGTTGGGGAAAACCCCGCTGGACGACGACAGGATCTCGCCGTACAGCGGGGGAAAACTATCGCCACCTCCCGAGCAAGCACATGCACTACACTTACTGGACTAATGACCTTGATAGTTGAAGCGCCCGGTATCATTAACAACCAATCAGTCAATTGATCAGCAAAAAACGACAAAAGCATCAACACATTTGTTTTTATAAATACATATTTAATTTAGAGCAACATCAGCTCTATTTCTTTCTTCTCTGGATTTGCGATTCAAGTGATAATAGTCTTTCACAACATGTGGATGAAGATGGTCTGAGCGCCCCTTTTTTATTTTAGTCGCTAGACCGAGACACTATCATGCATGCGTGTGTCAGCGTTCAGAAAAAGGATATTCATGTTTTTTTATTGTAAATTAAACAATAAACGATACAACGTAACAGATGTTAGTCATGTGATAAAATAAATGACTACAAATTTTCAAATTTACTGAAAGGAAAACACTTATACCATAAAGGGGGTTGAGATGAAAATTCTGTGCTAAGATGGCAAAATGATATAAGTGGTTGCGTAGGCTTCCGCGGCCGGAGTTTGTGTTGTTTCGGCTCTTCGGAATGAGGCGCGTCACTGACATGGTGGCTGCATCGCTCTGCGCGCGATGTTTCCTTCTTCCTTGTCCTTTCATCACAACTTACTTACACACACTCCCATGCACTACACTACAACACACGCCGGGGGCCAGTCGGGAGCTTAGAGCTTCTCCGGGTGGGAAAGTGCCACGTTGCTGGGAGATACCTGGTTGGGTAAACCCCGCTAGCCGACAGTAGGTCGCGCCGGATCTCGCCGTTCAGTGGGGCAACATTCCCGCCACCTCCCGAGGAAAAAGCATGCACTGCACATACGAGACTAATGACCTTAGCAGTTGACGCGCCCGTAATCTTTAACAATCAATCAATCAATGAACGATACACGCCACTTTAATGGATGTAGCTCCGAACTGTGGCGGCAGGGTGTGCTGCCTACGCGAGACTGGACTGCTGGACTGCGGTCGAACAAATGAAACGAGTTGAAGCATGTTCAGAATTTAACATTAACGGTGCACTGCCGTGAGAGATGAGGCATACTTCCATTGCCGTTCTTTAACGAAATCTTTGTGCAAAAATTCTTGCTGTAAAAGACAAAATTGACTTGAATATTACAGATGTTGATCTTCTCCAAATTACAAAGAATGACTAGAATTAAAATTATCCAACTCTATAGTACTTTAATGTAAAAGAGTCACTTTTTTTATCGGCGTTCTCCGCCTGGACTCAATACGTGCGAAGTTTTCGTTTTGTCATGTTTTGTTCCTCCTTCCTTTCAGATCCTGCCGTCGCTGCAGTCGTTCTGCCTGTACGCGGCCATGGGCGTCCTCATCACCTACATTTTCCAAGCCACTCTGTTCGTGGCCTTCTTCGTGCTGGACGAGCGGCGCGTGCAGAACGCGCGCAACGGGCTGCTGTTCTGCGTGCGCCATCGCGACTACAAACCCAACGCCTGCAGCCAGGTCAACTACTCCAAGAAGATATTCCACAAGGTGTACGCCAATGGCATCCTCACTCTTCCAGGACAGGTAAACTGCTGGCCTTGAAACGTTGCTTGCTTTTAGTGCACATCGGGCTTCATTTTCGTTCTTTCGTCTTTCGGGATTGTTTAATATATAACTTACTTCAGTTGTTTACTTATTCACATCGGTAAATGACAAGAAAGACACAACGACAATCAATTCATCCTGCTGTCCACATCATCACAAGTGTCTAAATTTTATAGATATTTTTATATAAATGCATGGGATTTAGTGTAAAAAACATAACTAGGCCTATACAAATTTATTTCCTCTCTGTTAATTTGTTATTCAATCGTTTCATTATGGAGGTTTGGAGTAGTGTAAATGACTGTCCACAATTTAATAAACTCATCTAATTGTTAGAGGATGTTAAAAGTAATCAGTTCTGTTCATCTGAAGAAAAATAACAGGGAAGAATATGTGCTTCGCCCTACTAATTGGACCTGTTTTTAGGAACCATTTGGCTCCGATTTTTGCCTAATGAGAGCCTTGCGAACATGCGCAACGGCCGTGAGTGCGGCTTTGAGGGCGCGGCCAGTTCTCACGGCTGGAAAGAGGGGCTAACAACCTTTGCGACAAAACAGCGAATTGGGCTAAGAAACACGTTGGGAATTCATAGATATTTATTCACTTACACAAACATTTTACTGGAAATAAGCGTTTAAACACAAACCGTCCAAACATTAAATATTTTTCATGCATTTTTCATCAGGCAAGAATTTACGTAAATCGAACACAAATTTCTATTTGTTTATACTGTATATGATATATTAACAGTAATTACTTCTCACGCAATTATATAATTTCAGTAGTAGAATATTAATGCTTATTTACTCGTACAAAATAGTAATTTTCCGAACGCATAATGAAATGTGCTTTAATGATAATTTTCGTGTAGGCTTTTACACAAATTGTCATTGCAAATATTAATTTCCTACGCTAACAACTTTAGAAAGTAATCAAATTAATGAAATTTGAGAGTTGAAGCTTTAGCAATGAGGTTTCTGAAAGAAATATGTTTACATTCCACTAATTAGCTACGAAAAATTGTTTGTTTTATATTTGGAAAAAAGAGAATAATCGTCTCTATCATCATAATTACTCAATATTATAATAAGGTCTCATATCCAAATCGTATAATTATGATTTCTGAATGAATGCTTCGTCAATATGTATCTTCAGTCATTCGCTATGTATAGAAACACTAACATTAATTTCACAGAAAATATATTTATTCTAAACTTCACTCACACTTTCTAATACTAATCCTTAAAAATTAGTAGAGAAATTCATTACAACTAAACGTAAATTGGACGTAGGTAGATTTTCTACAAACACTAATCATGCGTAAAATATGCGTAGTAAGTTTTACACCAAAACGGATATTTCACTAAAAACTGTGGCACGCTTTGCCAGGCACACAGCACTCAGCAGCTGGGAAGTTCTGTAAGAAGTACGTGTACTCTGCGGTCAACTTCCTTAGTAGATTTTTCTGCGTATTAAATAAAGTGCTTCCTCCCCGCCCTCACTGCACAAGAAATCAAGGGCCCATCCGGGCGTAATTGACTGTGCTGTCTATGGCCTCAGCAAGGCTGTTGATTGTGTTGCCATGAAGCGCCAGCACTTGCTTCCCCATGACCGCGAGCGGGACGCACCCTCCAACCCCGACACAGCGCTGCGACTGGCGCCACGGACAAACTATCAAAATGCGAAATGTACTCGACGATGAGCTCCCCTTTGTAATACGCTAGCGAAACCGTATAGTATGCGTTCCTTGTTATAACACTCAACTGTGATTGCGAATGGATTATTGCTCGAAGGGGAGACTGAGGACGATAATCTAAATATTTGTAATGGAGAAACCCAGCCTTTTGCTGTCGAGACGAACGGAAACTTCTGGTTCGAGGTCTTGAGGCACTTGAGGCGCGTTCAGACTGAATCCGTGTTCGGCAGAATTCGGGTGAACAAGGCCATTTGCCCACTGGATGGAGCGCAGGCGCCGTCCACGTGCGGCCCAAAGCCACAGCGCAGCGGCATCCACCGAACTTCAACGGAGCCCTTCAAAATGGACGTATTCAAAATTGTATCGTTAGTTTATAAACAAATGTGTGATGTTACAACAGCACTACCTTTCTCGTGTTATTTATAACCCTTTTTTTCTAGCATTTTCAGTGAAAATGGCACTTGCGCCATTCTTGTAACTGAATTTTACTCTATTGGAGAAAAAATTAGGAGCTATTTTTGGGAAAAAAAAACTGTAAAAAAGCCTATATTTCACGCACAATTACGCGAAAACTTTTTACATTTTCCAAAAATTGTGCATGACCTTATTTTAAGATCCGTTTGTGAAGAATAGATTTTATTGAGGAAAATAATATTTATCTTCAAAACTGTAGATGTAGCAATACTTTCAAAAAAATTAATTTGCATTTTATTTCGAAAATGTCGGTACTCCAACCAAAATGAGATCTGTGCCTTTTTTAAGCATTCTTTGCTCTATTCGAAAAATAAAAAATAAAATAAAAGAAATATGAGCCATTTTTTACAAAATATTGATAACGTTAAGGCTTCATGCAAAGTGCCCCCCAAAATCAAAATACTAGTACCCGTTTGAAATTCGCAAGGCCTCGAGTTCGACCAGATTTATAAGGAAATGACAATTCTGGAGGAAAACCACTAGCTCTAAACGGTTTAGACGCACGCACGGACCGACAGCCGTGGTGATAAACGTGGTCAAATGCTTGAGCTACAACAAAAGCTTTGGCGATTGCAGGATATTTTGCGACTAAACTTGAGGCAATAAATTCTACTAGTCAAAGTAGTTGACATTGGGCGGAAACCCAATTGCGTGTTTGGATCGGCTTCATTTTGACGGGCGTAGGTAAGTGGGCGTGCCGGAAGTTCCTTTTCAAAACGATTAGCCATTGCCGACAATACGCTGATTGGTTTATAATTCATCGGAGTTTGGTATTTTTACCTGGCTTGATGGATGGGAGAATTATTGCGTTATTCACATGGACGGATAGTAATATAATCTTAATGAGGCCTGAAGATAGCTGTTAGGACAGCTAAGACTGATTTTAAAGCGTAATTAGGGATATTATCGAGGACAGGGACTAAACCAGAAGTCTTTAATGAATTTAATTTTGTCTGAAAATGTATAGAATGGATATTGCAGATGTTCCATTTTTAGTGGAATATGGCATTCTCTATGGGGTTGAGAGTGAACGTTGTTTGTAAGTATTCTGCTTTTTCCTTTGGCCTTTATTGCGCGAAGGGGGACAAAGAAATGTTCTCTTACGTAATTATTTTGATTGTCCGCCAAATCAATTTCATATTTTGGATGGAATTGCATTAGGAATTGTTCGAATTGTGACTCTGAGAATAGTGGCGATGCTCCTGGCATTTAACACACCGAGTGGTATCGTGGAATTCGCCTGAGAAAGGCACCAGTGTTGGCATTGTTTACACTGGATTGGATAGCCAGCCTTCCTTCTTAATTGCACACGTATCTTACCACTGAGCATAAGTTCGACCTCATTTGAATTGGGTTTCTTGTTTTGTCGTAAAATCTGCACGCTTTAAGTACTTGGTAGCCTAGGAGTTGGAGGTCTTATATCACTTGATCATTGTAGCAGACGCGAAGGTCTTTGATAACAATGGGTTGAGCTTTTATTCCTGAGCCACTCTACGTATGGATTGAATGTTTACTTTTTCACATGATTACCCGGAAATTTGAAAGTCTGATATGCGACAGAAGTTCTTTTATATATTCTTCATTTTGGCTTGGTACGGAAGTCCTTAACTTGTAGTTGGTTAAAGTGCTGAATTAGTTTCAAATAGTCATTACTAGTGGAAACCTGTGCTGTGTTAAATTGCTATTCTTCTCAACATTTATCATAGTTCCAAGCCGGCAGCGGTGCAGGTCGGACGTGCCAGCTGCTCCGCTCCGCGCGTTACCAGTGATAGATTCTAATGATCTTGGTGGGGTAGCAGGCGAAAAAGCGCTGTCCATCGCCGCGATAGTGCTTCATGTGTAATTCCCGAGCCGCCGGATTTTGGTCCCGAAAGTCGCTAGGTGAATCGCGACATGGACTATGTGGCAAAAGCGCTCGGGTTCATCTTGTGGATCGAACGGCTGATCTACGAGAGCGCCCTAGCCGGGACGGCGTCCACCCTCAACCGGAGGGCGTCGCGAGCGGCTCGATGGCCTCTACACCAGAGTGGCTGAAGTTCTGCGCGCGCCTTCCTGTCACCCGTTGACGCTTGTCGATGCCCGCCGATCTTACACATCAACGGTCGAATCGCGGGCTGTGGCGATCAGGAGCGAGAAGCTGAGGGTCTCCGCACTTTGACGCGGAAAGCTTCAGCGGAGAAGTGTTGACGCGGAACGACGGCGACGCGACGGCGACGGGCGCGCGCGACGCGCGACGGCGGGGCGGCGACGGCGGCGACACGGCGGCACACGGCGCGGGGCGGCGACGCGGGGACGGGCGGCGCGACGGCGGCGAAGGCGGCGACGCGGCACGACCGGGCGCGGAATATATTCAGGTGAGGAAGGCTTTCTAAGATATGTTGCAGGTAACTGGTCGAAGTATAGTAATTAAAAAACCAATTGATTTTGAACCCAGTTGATTTCGTGCGATGCCGATATCAGTGATCAGGACAGAATCGTGGTTATCGATGACGTAGCTAATTCTGAAATCTTACGCTCCGGCATAAATTATATCCGAAGAGCATAGGAAAAACAAGGCGGCGGTGGACAGTCTTTCTCTCGTTAAATCAGCGTTATATGTTAGAAATAGTCTGTTAGTAACAACCTTGGAATTTTCGAATGGAATGAAATTGACCGCTACTAGAAATCCCCGTGGAAAATATTGCTTTATATTAAGGCCGCCAAAACGATGGTTATGAAATTTAGATGAAATCAGTGATGAAGCTGGGAACAACAAGAAACGGTCGGTCTATTCTTCTTGCTGGCGACTTAAACCTTACCCGACGGCTAA